CCCCATGGTGTCCCCAGCTCACACACAGTGCCTCATTGTCCCCACAGTGTCACCAGGGCCCACGCGTGGTGCCTCAGCACCCCCGTGGTGTCCCTAGATCACACATGGTGCCTCATTGTCCCCACAGTGTCACCGGGGCTCACCCATGGTGTTTCAGCACCCCCATGGTGTCCCCAGCTCACACACGGTGCCTCAGTGTCCCCACAGTGTCACCAGGGCTCACCTGTGGTGTTTCAGCACCCCAATGGTGTCCCCAGCTCACACACAGTGCCTCAGTGTCCCCAGTGTCACTGGGGCTCACCTGTGGTGTTTYAGCACCCCCATGGTGTCCCTAGATCACACATGTCACCTCAGTGTCCCCACAGTGTCACCAGGGCCCACATGTGTTGTCTCAGCATCCCCACGGTGTCCCCAGCTCTCACTTGTCGCCTCAGTGTCCCCATGGCATCCCAGCTCACATGCGGCACCTCCGTGTCCTCACGGTGTCCCCACACCTCACRCATGACACCCCAGTCTCCCCACATGGTCCCCACARCGCACACGTGGCACCTTGRTGTCCCYATGGCCTTGGTGYCCCCAGCTCACACACGGCACCTCAGCATCCCCACGGCGTCCCTGTAGCTCGCAAGAACCACCTCGGTGTCTGCACAGCTTCCCCACAGCTCTCATGTGCTCTCAGTGTCCCCCCAGTGTCCCCAGCTGTCCCCAGTCACCCCCACATCCATCCTCCCAGACCCCCTCAGCACCATCCTTGTGCTCACGCTGTCCCCTCAGTGTCCCCATGGCTCTAAGCGGCCCCCCCACGTCCCCTCAGTGCCACATCCCCCAGCCCCTCCGTGTCACCCCCAGTGTGACGAGCAATTGCACAGGGGCAATTGCAAGRGGTTCAGGGAACGTTTAGGTTGGGAAAAGGGGCTGCGTTTCAGGGAATTTCTTTGGCATCAGCGAAACACAGCGTAGCAGAAAACGCACTGCAAAAATAACCAGCCCCGCATTCGCGTTGCAACTAGACCGGACTAATGAAGCAGACAGACTGACGGGGTGTGATTGGGCAATAATCCCCACTTAATAAAACTCTTTTCTGTTTTCCAGGCTCAAGGAGAGAGCGAAGATCCCTATCCCATGACTGGCATCCCTGGGAATTAGCTCGATGTAAATAAGTAATAGCAACAACAACAAGTAATTATGGCCACAGCCGCCTCCAAACGCAATGCAGAGTCTTAACTTGTAGCTGCTCACACACAGCAATTTGATTCAAAATGCCAAGCATATTTCTATAGATTTTTTTTCCTGATACATATATATTTTTTGAGSAACATGTGATTTGTGAAACTCTGCTAATGAGCATTACATAAAACTAGGATTCAAAGAGAAAATAGAGACCAGAAATTGTTTTTTTTTTTTCTATTACTGTTTTAAAAGAATCCCTCACAAAAAATGTCATTCCTTTCCTCCTTTTGTTTTCCTCTCCCATTCTCTTTCAGTCTCACCTTTTTTCTTTTCACTTACCGTTAGGAAATTCTAAAATGAATATAGATCTATGGAAGTTTTATTCYCTGTTTCGGTTGAGAAAAGATTCGRAAACCAAACATAAATGCCAAATGTCCTAGTATGGATAAAAGCTCTTTGCYGGGCGATGCAGACTGGAGATGTGATTTTAAGCTCCTCTCACAGAGCTCACTTKGGTCTCTGAAGTGAGTTTTGTCCTGCCTTTTTGCACAGATTGCATTATCTGTTATTATAGAAAGAGCTCTACAAGTCTCTCGGGGACATTGGGAAGCCACCCAATAATTCCTACCCCCAGGGACAATCGGTTCCAGTTACACACGTCACAGCAAGCGCCAGTCTCGCCTGGTTTTGCACTTCAGTGATGGAGAGCAAGAAGAACACGTGAAATCAGACGAGCCATCCGTAGAGCAGAGAACAGCGCGAGTTAAACGGAGCACCCGCCCTCGCCGCTCGTTCCCCACGGAATGAACATCATCCCCCCAAAATTAACCGTTTCCCAGGCCCCGTGAGAGCCCGGGGTGGCTGCGGAGATTAGCGCTGAAGCCGGCGGGGAGTGCTCACTGATCCCGTGGGTTGTGTTTTCATTTCGATGCTTCCCAGGGAACGCGTGTGCCTGTTCCCGCTGTCCATCCAGCTGGCTCTTCTAGACAGGGAGGCTTCACTTTTCCCTAGAGGGATTTGGAGATTTTAGGTTTTTGTCTTAGAAATCCAGAGGGCTGGAGAGCTTCTTCAGAAAACAGCAAATCGAAAGCAGGGAAAACCAACCAAACAAACAAGCAAAAATGGGGAAAAATACCCATTCCTCTTAAAGAAATACAGATTTCCTTCTTCCTGGGGTGAGCAGAGAGCAGGGCAGCCCCTGAGATGCAGCCTTCACCGCTGGCCAAGGCATGAAGCATTCCCGATGACTTGCCATCAAGTTCTGCTTGATAGGGTTTTTTGATGGTGTATATTTGAAACTCGTCCTTCAGTAAAGGCAGCGAGAAAAGCCTCGACATCTGCAATGGGAGCCCTCTCTGTTTTAGGAGAGCACATCTTATTTTCAGCCATTTCCCCCCGGCTAAAATCCTATTTTTTTCTGGGGAATTTATCTAGAGAACTGTGAGGAAGAGTTTCCAATTCCTCTTTCCTACCGCTCACCCATTCCAGTCGTTAACATTTACCAGGATCTTGCGGAAAACCAGACCCTTGGGAACAGGATTTATGTAACTGCCTTTTGCCACCTAAACATTCAACGTTAGTCTCAACTAATCTTGTTATCTCTGCCATCAAAGTGACATGGAAGGTCACCCGCTAAAGGGGACCCAAAACAAGTGTCTAAGGCACCACTCGCCCATGGGGGCACCTTCCCCTCTGCTCAGTATGGAAAAGACCTGGGCAATTGGCTCAGGACACCCAACYTTGGGACAGGTGAATTTGGGCCCATCCAAACTTACGTCGCCATCCCACTTACAAAGCAAAGCAGGTCCCAAATAACATCATTATTTCCCTCCCTTGCTGACTTCTTTGCATCTCATACCCCCCTTACAAGCTCCAGATGATTCTTTTCTTTCCCTCAGCACAGATTTAACCCAGCACTTGAGCAGCACCCTGCTTTTTATTATTTTATTTCATGTTCTGTCATTGACCTCCAAAATATAAATGCACCCTGAGGACATCCACATCTGGAGCTAGACTACAGAGCTTGGCTCTGTATAAAACCAACCCCCTGGAAGACCAGGGCCTCTGGAGAAGGCTGCATTTGATGGAGAGGGCTGCTCACCCTGTCACCAGCTGACCTGGGGACACCTTGTGCATCCCCGGGAGCGTTTGGAGCTGGTGGCACCAATGGCCCCGCTGCAGCCCTGGGGTTCTCTGCAGCTCTCAGGGGCTTCCTTTGGCAAGGACGTTATCCCAGGCAGATCCGGGTGCTGCGGAGCCTCCTTGTTCTCCTCAGATCCCTCCGGCTCCGGAGGCTGGGAAACGCATCCCGTGACTGCTTCAGTCCGGAGGAACTGGCTGCTGCCGGTGGCTCCACGTGCGTGCGGATGGGGAGGAGGGAGGCAGATTAAAGGGCAGGAAGGGCTTGGGTTTGCCTCTTCCTTTTTCCAAGGAAAGCTTCAATGAAGCTGCCCCGAAACAGCCCGGCCGAGACGTTCCGGGCAGACGGCGGCGGCCCCGGGGGCCGGGGGCCTCTTGCGGAGGAGAACACATGAAAGCGCGGGATGGGGAGAGCCTGCTTCCCAGGCGGGAGAGCCTGCTTCCCGCCGGCAAGGCGCGGGCCCGGCGGGAGCCTCCGGCGCCTCCTGGCTCCCAGCAGGACGGCTCYGCTGGGCCCGACATGCCAGGAATTTGGCCAGGCTCCAGCCCACACGTGTGCTGGGCTGCCCCCGGCAGCAGCGCGTGTGCCGGCGGGATCCTCTGCTCGGATCTCCCTTATCCCTCCAGTTCTTCCCTTATCCATCCACGCGCAGTGATCCGGGCTGCTGGAATACACCCCAGCGCGGGACACCCCGGATCA